CCTTTTCTTTCTTTTTACTCATTTTTCCTTGCTAGGCCCAGATTTGACCGCCAGAGGTGTTTTTGGCCCTCACAATGGGAATGAATGACTCTTCTCTCTGAACCCCACAAGTGCTTTGCTTGGACCTCTGCTGAACACTGACGGGATAATGCTCTGAACTGAGTTAGTGCTATCTGGTCTCCCCTGACTGTAGCTACAGTTGGGTCAGCTATCCTGGTAGCACCTAGCACAAAGGGGGTGCTCTATGAATGTTTGTTGACTACATTCATGGTGCTTTTATGACTTAGCTAATCATGGGTTACTCAAAGGCTGGATTATTCAAGGTTTAATTGATTCAGATCTCTTGGAATTTTTCTCCCAATTTTTAACCCTGGCAAGGTTTACCTTCCAATCTTCAGAAAGATGACCAGCAGAGAGGGAAAGTGAAGCTCACTCACACCTCTAGGCTCCCCACAGCTCTGCAGAGAGCGGGATGAAGAGGAGCAGAGGGAAGGTTGTTTGTGGTTCCCCCACCCTCTGTGTTTAGACTGCCGGGACTTTCATCAGGATGCCGAGGTTCTCAACCTGTGGGTCGTGACCCCTTTGGCGGTCAAACGACCCTTTCACAGGGGTCGCCTAAGACCATCCTGCATATCAGATATTTACATTACGATTCATAACAGTAGCAACATTACAGTTATGAAGTAGCAACGAAAATAATTTTATGGTTGGGTAACAACATGAGGAGCTGTATTTAAAGGGCCAGAAGGTTGAGAACCACTGGAGGGGCAAGGGGAATTGGATTTGGGTGTATCATTCCACAGCCCTAGGTCCTCTTAGTCAAGTCCTTCTCTCCCCCCCTGCCTCTTTGTCACTGGTCATTCTCTGCTCCCTCCTCTGTCTGTCGCGTCTAGCGGAGGCTCTACTTTGCTCTGGTGCCTACGCTTCCCACCACACCTTGCGAGGTAGGTGAAGCAGTCTGGTGCTGACAGATCTTTCGGTTCCAAGTTAGGAGACCTGTGTGACCCGCGGAAAGTTGATTAAGCTCTTGAAGCCTCAGTTTCTGCATCTAAGAACTGGGAATAATCACACGGGCCTGTCCCGGTCACATCCCAGGGTGGTTGAGGGAAATCAAATGGGATTTTTAAAAAGCATACACTGGCAAAGAGCTCTACATAAACGCCAGGTGTTCCTATTGCTGTCTGTGAGGCTCCCTCTCCTACCTACAGACCAAAGAGGTCCTGTCCGCCCCGCCCTGGCTGCACCGGCCTCGCCCACTGCATCTCCATCTTTTCCGTCATTGTCTTTCTGCGCCTCAGAGATGCTGGGTCTCTCCACCTCCCCTGTACATTTCCGGGTCTGGCTCTTGGGCCCCTCTAGCCCCTCGGGGGGCTGTGGTCTCCAGCTCCTGGCGGCAGTCGCTGCCCAGGCGCCCCCCGCCCTGTGCACCCTCCTTTGGCACGGCCACAGGGCCAGAGAATCGCCCAATAAGAGCGCTGGGCTCAAGTCTGACAGCTCAGGAAGCGGCCAATCGAGCCGGGCCAGGGAAGGGGGCGCAGTGCTGGGGCTGAAGTTGGGTTGCATAGGGGGAGGGGGACTAAAGGGGGATACAAATGAGGGGAGATAGGACTGGGGCACAAAAACGAAGGCGGGGGGTGGGGAGGGCCGCGCTCCACCCAGGTCTGGCCAAGGGACCGTGGGCTGGACGCGGCTCCAGGAACCAGAGGGAGGGGGCTCGACGAAAATTTTAGGTGAGAAAGAGAAGCTGGGTTCCACGCGGCCCCCGGAGCCGGGCCTGGGAATGT